TCCAGGGCCATGAAATCTTGCCAGGCATGGAATTCCCAGAAGGCAGCTGGAATTCCTTGTGAGAATGCTCAGCTGGGACATTCTCTTGGAGAATGCCAACTGAGGGCAAGTGGCCACCACCCTGAGCAGGCAGCCACCAGGCAGCAGCAAGAGTGTGGCCTCCCAGCCACCAATCTGTGCCTTGTCCCACTGTGGAACTGGAAGTTCTTCAAGTATTGGGGGAAGAGCTGTTGCCAATGCAGCTGAATCAAAAGATCTAAAGATAGACAAAGAAAACACACAAAGAGAACGAGTAAATCAGATTATTTGGGAAAGTTGGCAAAGACGAACGGCAGAATGGGGGGGGGGGGGCAGAAAGCTGAGTCTCGGCCTCCTTCCTTAGCAGTAATTACCCCTTGCTGCTATATGCTTGCTAGCCGCTCTCTCTCCTCACTGTTTACTGGTTACAAGAAGAAAAAAAAATCTCAGGTCACCTTCATGGTACATGAAAGTACAGGAGGCATACAGGTTCTTGTGCTCGCAGATAAGCGCAGGGGAACCCGGATGTTAACACACAGGGTTGTCTCTTCAAAGGGAGACGTGTACAGTCCATGTTCTGCCCAGAAGGCTGGGAGCAGGTGTGGTTAGTAGCCCGTGACATGTCTGTGCAGCTGGGATGAGCGCCTCCCTCGGACCCTTATCTTGAGCTTGTTCTTCTCAGTTACTCTGTAGAGCCCATCTTTATGGAAATGTCACCCGTACTTTACAAAGAGTTTCCATGTAGCCATGTCTTGAGCTCTGTTGTGCATATGGGATTGAGTTAATTATCACCAGGAAACATTTCTCCTATTGTTCTGTGCTTAAAATACGCCCAAATAAAGCACCCACAGTCAGACTCTTGAAGTTTGAATCAATACCAGCTACTGAGTTATGTTAAACCTAACCTCCTTCTTGTTTCTTGTGGATAGACACTCTGCCGGCCACGGGGTTTGCAGACACCCCCAAATGAAAGCATTCATATTAGAGAATTGAGCTACCTGACCTAACAGAATGCTTCCATTGTAACCCTCCAACATCTGAGGGGGTCCCTTCCTAGCATGCATGGGGGTAAACATGCCTTTCTTGCAAGGGAAATATTCTGAAAGGCAGGGATGAGAAGATGGCTCAGTCAAGTTCCTGCTGGGCAAGCATGAGGACTTGAGTTTGACCCCCAGGCCCCATAGCCTGGTGGTGCATACTTACCATCCCAGCATTTGTAGGCAGAAACAGGAGGGTCCCTGGTCCTTGCTGAATTATCCAGCCTTGGGGCAGTGAGAGACTGTCTCAGAAAAGAAAGTGGATGGTGCCTGAGGAATAACACCCAAGGTTCAACTCTGACCTCCACCCACATATACACACATGTGTATTGCTCTCTCTCTCTCTCTCTCTCTCTCTCTCTCTCTCTCTCTCTCTCTCTCTCTCTCACACACACACACACACACACAATCTGAAGGGGCTCCAAGAAGTGCCCCTCCCCAGTCATCAATTTATATGACATTGTGAGTTTTTTGAGGAAACAGCAGGAAGTAGGTCTGGTGGGATGCACATGGCTGACACACCAGAAAACCCTCCCTAACAGTAACTTCTTCCAAAGGACATTTTCAAATGTCACTTGGGGGAAGTGGACCCAGAGTCAGTCCAGCAGTTTCACAGTACTGGGGGAAGCCCTCAGAGAAACTGAGATGTGAGTGGTAGGCAGGGAGGGTTTACCATCCCCACTGTCGTTCTGAATTCTGTGTCAAGGTTAGCTCTCTGCACTGCCCACAGAAGGCCTACTTTAGCCTGCTGTACCTGTCTCTTTTAAAGGCATTAAAAATGCTCACACGCATATACATGTTGCACGTTTCCTTACCTTCCCTTCTCCCCTGTCCCCACTAGTCCCTTTTACCCCTAGATCATTTCACTTCCCCTTTCCTGCTATATATACACATATGTGATTGTATGTGTATACATATGTCCCTTTTACCCCTAGATCATTTCACTTCTCCTTTCCTGTTATATATACACATATGTGATTGTATGTGTATACATATGTCCCTTTTACCCCTAGATCATTTCACTTCCCCTTTCCTGTTATATATACACATACGTGATTGTATGTGTTTATATGAAACTAGGAACTAAAAAGGAGAGAAAATACACTTCCTTTGTCTTTCTGACTTAATTCTCTTACTATGATTATCTCCAGTTGATCTGTTTTCCTGAAAATGACACAGATACTCTATTGTGTATACATATCACACGTTCTTTACGCAGTCCTCTGTTGACAGACACCTAGGTTGACTCCGCAATAGCTATTGTGCATAGTGCTGCGGTAAACACAGATGTCCCAGGGTCTCTTCTGCGGTGACCTGAAGCCCTTTAGAAAACACCCAGGAGTGAGAATGGGTCACTTGGAAGGCCGGTTTCAGTTTTCTTGCAGAACCTCCACACTGATCCCCGTAGGAGCTGGGCTAGTTGCGTTCCCACCAGCAGTCTCCGAGGGTCCCCTTCGGTCCGCATGTTCACCAGTGTCTGTTGTCAGGCTTCTGAGGTCACCTCAGTCCTTGGCAGACAGAGTTCCTTTTGTTTTCTAAAGTCCTCATCACAGTCTCTGCACCTGCTATCAAATGTCCCTCCCTCCTCTCCCTGACCCTCCCCCCTTCAGCTGCTGAGGACTCCTGTGACCACACCCAGAACAGCCAGGACAGTCCCCACCTAAAGGTCCTTAACCAATCACATCTTTACTCTTCCTTTAGCTATGGCAGGTGGTATTTTCTCGGGGTGTAGGCATGAGAGTGTGGATATCTTTGGGGGCTCCTATTCACCACCGTTAGGCCTATCCAAGGGTCTCTCCGGCTATGCCCTTCACATGCATACTTAGAGCGAGCAAGACACCCCACTGAAGAGTTCTGTTAAATAATCCTGGAGATGTACGTATTGTCCTTTGTTTTCATTCATTCATTCATTCACTTATGCTTTTGAGATAGTCTCATGTATCCCAGGCTGACCTCCAACTCCCTCTGTCTCAGAGGGTGGCCTCATTACCCCTCCTCCTGAGTGCTGGGGTGACAAGCCAGATTATGCCCAGTTTATGCAATACTGAGGATGGAACTCTGTGCATGCTAGGCAGGGACCATACCAACTAAACTACATCCCCAGTTCTTAAAGGCTTTACAGTAAGAGTGTAGGATTGGCAGCAGCGTCCCTTGTAGATGGCAACAGGGGAAATGAAGGATGTTTGGGGATCATGGCTTAGGCTAGATTCTGAACCCAGTCCTGGGGAAGCTCTGGCCTGTGTCTTGGCCAATTGATTGTCCTAAGTCCAGTCCAGTCTCTAAGATGCCATCTGCAGTTGCTGTGATTAGCTGGTCCTTGGGGTCCTGTCTTACCCTTGAATCATGGAGAGGCACCAGCCAGAATTCTTCTCCTCCCTCTCAGGAAAGGGCAATGCAGGGGAGTGGGAGAGTGGACCTTCTCAATCTCTCTCCTGAATGAAGCCAGCTGAGGCCAAATGCAGTTCGAAGGCATTTAGAGAACATATGACACTGAATGTTAAAGTAGTCAAGCATGTGTTTGGGGAGGAAGCCCCGGGATGTGGCTGCCATGCAGGGAGCCAGTTGGAGGTTAAGAGCTGGTCCCAGGAAAGGAGGTTGACTCCCGCAGCAGAGACCCTGGGACATCTGTGTTTACCACAGCACTATGCACAATAGCTATTGCAGAGTCAACCTACAGAGACATACAAAAGAGCCACTGACCAGACTTAGGTCAGACATAAGCCACATAAGCCACACAGGGACTCTGACAACAAACCCTTTTCACAAAGCCAAAACAAACAAACAAACAATGAGCCAGGCCGGGGAGGTGGGGAGGTGATTCAGTGGGTAAAGAATGTGCTTGCTTTACAAGCATTAACACCTGAGTTCCAGTCCCCAGAAACCACCAGGTGTGTGTGTGTGTGTGTGTGTGTGTGAGAGAGAGAGAGAGAGAGAGAGAGAGAGAGAGAGAGAGAGAGAGAGAGAGAGAGAGAGAGAGAGAGAGAGAGAGAGAGACGGTAATGCTGTCATTCCAGTGTTCCTATGGCAAGATGGAATGTAAAGACAGGAGAATCCCCAGGAGATCTCAGGCCAGACAGCCTAGAGTACTCACCAGCAAACAACAACAGACCCTGCCCAAAACAAAACTGTCAGAGTTCTTCTCAGTTCTAGAGTACAGTCCACAACAGTGGGAAGACATGACGGCTGGACCAGTAGATGGCTGGTCACTGGCATCCATGGCCAGGAAGCAGAGAGAGGCAAATGCTGGTGTTGGCTCCCTTTCTCCTTTTGATTCAGAGTCTAGCCCCAATGGATGAAAGAGTATGGCCCACAGTTTCTAGGAACTCCCTAACAGACAGGCCCAGAGGCTTGTCTCTATGGGGATTCTACATGCTGTTAATCAGAAATATTAACTATCATAGCTGCTTTCATTTAAATTGGGTTCACTTCTCATCACTCCAAATAAGTTTGGTTTCTAAGAACAAGGAGGATTTGAAATAAAGGCTGCCACAAAGGCCTCCATTATCCTAAGTACCCTCCCAGAATTGGTGCCTTCTGCTGTCATCAAGGACCAGAGTCAGGCATTCATATCGATCACCTCAAAAAACTTTAAGAGCCTTCATTCTCAGGTTGGTAGAAATACTTAACCTGTACTTGCATGAAAGAGAGAATGGGTGATACCCTAAATTTTGTATCCTCCATAACTTGCTTACTGCATACTAGTCCTAGAGCTGCCCAGGAGCTCCCTACCCTCTCTCCCCTCTTACTACATTGGGCAGACCAACTTCTTCCCTTAATGTCTACCTTTCTAAAAATGAGCAGACCCAGCTGAGGAAATGCCCCCATGAGATCCAGCTGAAAGGCATTTTCTCAATTAGTGATGAATAGGAAGAACCCCAGCCCGTGGTGGGTAGTGCACTCCCTGGGCTGGTGATCCTGGGTTCTATAAGAAAGCAAGCTGAACCAAGGGAAGCAAGCCAGTAAGCAGCCCCTCACCATGGCCTCTTGCATCAGCGCCTGCCTCAAGATTCCAGTCCTGCTTGGGTTCCTGTTTTGACTTCTTCCAATGATGAACTATGATCCAGATGTGTAAGTCAAATAAACCCTTTCCTCCCCAGCTTGCCTTTTGGTCATGGGGTTTCGTTGCAGCAATAGAAAACCTAACTAAGACAATCTCCCAGAACCTACATAAAAAGAAGCAAGGGATTATGTCAAACACTGATGGGGGAGTGAAGACAGGAGGGCTCCTGAGGCTCACTGGCTGGGCAGCCTAGCCTATTTGGAAAGCTCCAGGTCAACAAGAGACCCTGTCACAAAACACAAGGTGTATGAAGAGTGAAAGCCAAGGTTGACTTCCAGCCGAACACACACACACACACACACACACACACACACACACACACACACACACACACGGAGAGGGAGAGAGACACATGGGGGTTTATGTAGATCCCATAATTCATAGCTAATACTCCATGAACTTTCACAATAAGTGCTCTCACTCATCATCTAAGAGGCTTCTTTTTGCCACAGATGGAGGCCATTACAGAAAACGACAAGTCAAAATGCAGAGACTAAATGACCATGGAGCATCCAGCCTGAAATGGGACATACATAGCATAATCCCTACACCAAAGCACTCAGGCCACTCAGGGGATATCACAGGGGAGGGTACAGAAAGACTGAAAGAGCCGGAAAACCAGGACGACTGCTGGAGCATAGCAGGAACACTGCTCCCAGGTACACTCAACAATACGGCTGCTTGCACACAACCACACCAGACAACACATCAACAGAAATGGACAAACACAAGGCCCCAGCCTTAGTTGAAGGGCTGCAGGCAGTCAATGGATGCTAAGAGAAGGAGAGTCAGTTTTCTGTATGGATGAGGCCCCAGACAGGTCACTCAAACCTAAGTGGTCCATCCTAAACCCATGTGTATACTGGGCAACACTAATTGGTCTCAGCAGATTGTGCACCGTCTACATGTACCTATATAATGTATCATATATATATATATATATATAGTATTTACAGAAGAGGACACGAATCTGATAGAGAGATAGTGGTGGCATTGGAGGAGTTGGAGGGGAGAGGTGGATGGGGAGAAATGATGTAGACAGTGTGGTTGTATAAGACATTCTCAAAAAAATCTGGTTCATGAATTTTAAAAATGTAGGTCTATTTGGGGCTCATCAGAGCCCTCTGACCTCCACTCTCTGGGGTCTTCGGGTTCTTCAGAACACACAGGCTACATCCTTATGGCCACTCAACCCCTAGAGAGCAGGAAAAGGCATCTGAACCAGCTAGCTGCCCGTCACACCTCATGGGTTTGCATGCCGGGTTCCTACAAAACACCTGGCAGAGAACTGGGCTGCAGCTCACTCCATCCCTGCCCTATGCCTGCTCTGAAGTTCTCCAAGCACATAGCAACCATGCTAATGCTTGTCTTTCACAAACCAGCTGGCCTGAGGCAAGTGCGGACGTGTAGATTTCACACACAAGGGAGCAGTTTCCAATCCAATTATAGGAAGCAATAATTGACCACATTACAGCAATTACCAGTTTTTTAACCTGTGTCACTAAGGAATGGCTTCCTGCACAGCCAGGTCCAGAGGGCTGAGCTTTCTCTACCTTGGCAAGTCCCATGCTAGAGAGTCTCTCTGCACATCCCTCTTTCTCTTTCTTCTTCCACCATGGCATCACCTGTGATTGCCAGGCTCGGCCGACTCTTGGCCTGCCCCTTCTTTCTGGCTCCTTCCCAGCCGGCTCTCTGAATGCGAGGAGATCTTTACCATGTTTTCTGAGGATCTCTTGAACTCAGGGTCCCAAGGCTTACACCATCATGCCTAAGAAAATTTATATTCTTGAATTTATGTTGATACTCTGCTTTCTGAAGCCTGGTGTGGGGTTGGGGGTTCTGGGTGTCTTTCTGATGTCATCATGGCCTGTCCTCCCTTCTCATAACCTCTGCCAAGGGAGAGGTGGGGTTGTCAGGACACTTAGGTGCCCATACCTACTGGCAATCAGAGACTATGGGGCAGTTGAAAAAGGCACCTCCAGCTCCCATTGCTTTTCCTATGGATGAGATAGAGGAGGTGTGAAGGGACCTTTGAGGGCACAGAGACTAAGTGGGTACTATTCCTGCTTTTTACAATCTTTCTATGATACCCACTTCTGGCTTCTAATGTCCTCTTCTATTCTACAGGCTCTTTGTATTGGTCAGGCTTCTCTAGAGGAGCAGAACAGCAATGGCTATCTCCTGACAGAAAGGCTAGAATCCAGTAAGTTGTTCAGTCCTTGAGCCTGGAAGTCTCTGCTTCTCTTTCAGTCTACATTAGAATCACAAAAAAATGTAGGTTCTAATACAAGCCAAGAACGCCTCAGCAGCAGAGTTGATGAACTTGCCATAGACAGTGAGAGTGAGCAGGCCAAAAGCAAAAGCTCCTACCTTCCATGATTGTTTTATGTAGGCTACCACTAAAAGGTGTTGCCCAAATTTTGGGTGGGTCTCACTCCAAATGATCCAATGAAGAAAATCCCCCAGGGACATTCCCAGGTGCTTGGGTGTTGGCTAATTACAGAAGAGGTGATAAGGATCCTTCATAACAGCCCCAGAGACAGTCTAGAATGGCTACTTCTCTCACTGCTGTAATAAAATGTCTGACCTCAGCACCGTAGGTATGGGAGGGTTAATTTTGGCTCATAGCCCAAGGGTATAGTCCATCATGGTGGGGAAGGCATGGCCACAAGAGAGTGAGGAGGTGGGTCACGTTGCATCCACAGGCAGGAAGCAGAGAGAGGTGAACACTGGTGCTCAGCCCACTCTCTCCTTTTCATTCAGCCTGGGACTCTTCTATGAAATAATGCCACCCACAGTTCATTTGAGTCTTCCCCACTCAGTTATATCTTCCTGACAACACTCACGGACACATCCAGAAGTGTGTTTCAGTGATTCTGGATAAGATTAATAATTGCAGAATCCACATTTATTCTTATGGTATTTCATACATGTCTACAGTGGGAGTGGGTGCCAAACACATTGAGGCAATTAGCATTTTCATCTTGTTTCTCTGGAGACTTCAAACCCTCTCTCCTTATCCACAACATTACTATGGCTTGGGCTCTGAAACGTCTCCAAAGCTCATATACTGAAAGTTTGGTCCTTAACTGGTGTCACATGGGAGAGTGATGGAAATTTTAGAATGTCAAGCCTAGCTTAAGGAAGTAGATTATCCTGAATTCCTCCCTGTCTATTTCCATATCTGCATCCCTCCATGTGGAATGGGCTCCCAAAGTCCATTTGGATGCCAGGGATAAACACTGATCTAGTACCCGAGGCCCCAAAGAACGCCGAGGCCTCTTCATTGACAACCACCTTCAGGGTCTGGATCAGTCCCACGCTGGCCTCTCAGCCATCAGTCTGGGATCCATGAGCTCCCTCTTGTTCAGGTCAGCTATTTCTGTGGGTTTCACCAGTCCAGTCTTGACCCCTTTGCTTATCACTCCTCCCTCTCTGCAGCTGGTTTCCAGGAGTTCAGTTCAGTGTTTAGCTGTGGGTGTCTGCCTCTGCTTCCATCAGATGATGGATGAAGTCTCTAGGATGCCATGCAAGGTAGTCATCAATCTCATTATCGGGGAAGGGCATTTAAGGTGGCCTCTCCACGATTGCTTAGATTGCTGGTTGGTGTCATCCTTGTAGATCTCTGGAAATCTCACTACTGCCAGATCTCTCCTCAAACCTACAATGGCTCCCTCTATTATGGTATCATCTCTCCTCTGTTCTTCCCCCAACCCAACCTTCCTGCTCCCCCATGTACTCCTCTCCTTTTCTCTTCTCCCCCTCGCTTTTCCCCCTAAAATTTATTTAGGAACACATAAACCCCAAATATAAATGACAAAAGACAATCCTATAAGAAATTACTTTTTACTGTGATACACAATTTATTGAAAAGAAAATATTGATATTTACTATTTCATAGTAATATTAATTAATATGCAATGTTAATGTTTAAAAATATTAAATGTTGTAATGCATAATATTCCACAAATGACTTTCTTTTTATGACTAAATAATATTCTGTTGTGTATATGAATCATTTCTGACACTTTTAAACACTGATGGACACCTAGATTGACTCCATATCTTTGAGCTATTGCAAATCAAAAGTACGCATGGGCATGGAGTTGCTGTCTGGTGTACAGATTTCACTTCCTTTGCAAATAAATCCAGAAGTGGAGTAGAAGGCCCATGAGTAGACCTGGTTTTAGTTCTGAGGAGACCCCCCCACACACTGCTATTACACTGACTACATTTTTTTCTTTTGATAAAAGTTATTCTCACCAGGATGATTTCAAGTTGCATTTCCATGATCGCTAGTGATGTCATACATTTTCTGCATATTTTTGGCCATTTGTGTTTCTCTTTTGACAATTTGCCAGACGAATAGCTTGAAAACACTTTCTTCTGTTTTGGAGTTTATCTCCACTGTGCAGAGACTTCTTAGTTTGACATAAGCCCATGAATCACTTCTGTTCCAATTTTTGTTTTGTTATCTGTACTTTTGAAGTTATAAAAAATACCATTCCTTATACCATTGTCTTAAGATTTTCCATAGTTTTCTTCTAGTAGTTTTGTGGTTTTAGGTTCCACATTCATGTCTTTTATCTGTTTTGAGTTTCTTTTTCTTAGTATAGTCAGAAGTGAGAAATGCATGGTGAGAAACAGAATGTCCCAGCTTCCTTTGTGTTGATGTGATAAAACATGACCAAAAACTACTTAGAAAGTGTTCATTTCTTCTAACACTTGCAGGTCACAGTCCACTATTGCCAGCAGTCAGGACAGGCACTTAAGCCAAGACTTGAAGGCAAGGTGTGTGCTTGCTGCTCCAGGATCATCACCTCCAGGGAACTACTCAAACACAACAGGAACCATGGAAGAATGTTGCTTGATGGGTGGCTCTCTGGCTAATTCATAGTCATCAAGTATTTTATGGATCCCAGGGCCACCTGGCTGGGGAATGGTACTGCCTGTAATGGGCTAAGCCCTCCGGCACCAATTAATAATCAAGACAATCCCCCACAGACATGCACACAGAACAATTCAATGGCAATTCCTCAACTGGAGCTTCTCCTCTCAGATGAATCTAGGCTGGGTCAAGTTGACAATCAAGTTACATGGGACATGGGGTTGTTGATCTATGCATGGATAACCAATTTCCCTGGCATCCCTTACTAAAGATACTGACAGTGATGATTAGCTTTGTCATTTGGACGCAATGTAGAGCATGGAAAGAGATGGCTATAAGAAATTATCCAGACTAGACTGGCCTCTGGCCATACCTGTGAGTGATTTTCCCAGTGGGGTTAATTGACATAAGAAGACACACACTGAATGTGGGCAGCACCATTTCATGGGCTGGAAACCTGGAGTAAGTGGAAAGGAGAGAGGGAGCTGAGTACTAGCATGCATTCATTCATCCATTCATCATTCATTCACTTCTCTCTGCTCTTGACAGTGGATGTGATATGGCTTGCTGTATCAAGTTCCTGTACCCTGACTTCCCCACAATGATGAACTGTCACCTGGAACTGTGAGTCAGCACAGCCTTTGCTCCCTTCAGTTGCTTTTATCAAGGTATCTTATCATAGCACAGGAAATGAACTAAGATAACTGGCCTTCACTCCAGGCATATTCTGAGAACCACTGTTGAAATTCAAATGGCCTCAGATACATGGATTTACTTTTATGATCTGTTGGTTTTTACACTCACGCCATGCTGTTTCTGTTACCATATTATGACTTGAGACTAGGTCATAATTTCTCTTCTTTCTCAGCATTTTGTAGCTATTTGTGGTCTTTCCTGTTTCCATATGGTTTTTAGGATTATTTTTCCTGTTTCTACAAGGAGTGCTGTTGGTATGTTGGTGGGAACAAGCATTGAGTTTGTGGCTTGCTTTAGATAACATGGATATTTAAACAATATTAATATTACTTCTCCCGATCTGTGAAAAGTCTTTCTTTCTTCGCATCTTTTCGATTTAACTCATGTAATTTTCACTGTAGAGAACATCCACTTCCTTGAGTAAATTTATTCCTCGGTATTTCTGGTAGCTATTGTGAGTGGAGTTATTTATGACTTCTTTCTCAGTGAGTTCATTATTTGTATATAAAAATGCTGCTGAGTTTTATGTCTTGTACCTCTGTTGGGTAGGTTTATGATTTCTAATGGTCTTTTGGTGAAGTCTTTAGATTCTGTATAGTTAAATCCTTAAACAACAAGGGAGATGGGGATGCTAATCTCCACATACACAAAACTGAGTATAACGTTTGGCTTCCCCCTAGCATAACTACTAATAGCTTGCAGTTGGCCAGAAGCCTTATCTCAGCAGAAACAGCCAATGAGCACATATGTTGTGTATTGTCTGGTGCTGAAAAATAGGCAAGGACTATAAGGAATTGTCTTTTACTGGGATGCACAATTTAGTGGAGAGAAAAACTGTTCATGCGGTAAGATCAGTGACATGCATGCAGACTTTTAAGTAGGTAATCACAACACAAGCTCACCAAAGTAGCAGCAGGGGTGGCTATAAAAGTATTGCAGTAATACAGCGTTACTGTAATTAAGTTTATGCAGATATGATTGGATGCTGTATCTTTGTTTATGTGCATGCTCCTCTTCACTGTGAAGGGCACCAAGTATGATGTATTTTTTTTCCTTTGGTTTTATGAGACAGGGTTTCTCTGTATTGTTTTGGAGGCTGTCGGTCCAGCCTGGCCTCGAACTCACAGAGATCCACCTGCCTCTGCCTCCCGAGGGCTGGGATTAAAGGTGTGTGCCACCACCACCCAGCTATATGATGTATGTTTAAGTGCATTTTTAATACTTTTTTTTGAGACAGTGTTTATCATGTAGCCTTTGGCTAGCCTGAAACTAACTATGTAGACCAGGGTGGCCTTAACCTTGAGATTTTTCTGCCTCTGCCACCCAAGTGCTGGTTTGGAGGCAGGAATCACCATGCCCACCAGCAAGTTTTGATAAGTGTGTGCATATGTTTGTGTTCTTGTATGCACATATGTGTGTGCACGGGTGTGGGAGACACAAGTCAGTGCAAGGTTTTTCCCTAAGTTGGTCTTTCACCTTTTATTAAGGAAGTAGCTCTCACTGTACCTAGAGCTCACTAAACTAGCTAAACTAGCTATCCAGCAAGTCCCAGGGGACCTCCTGTCTCACCTTCCCAGCACTAGGGTAATAGACATATGCCACAGGCTGGATTTATTTTTACATGGGTTATGAAGAGCTCAGGTCCTCATGGGTATTATCCATGGAGCCATACCTCCAATCAAATTTTAACTTTTTATAATACACCGATGTATAGTTAATGGTAGTACGTGTATTTTTGCACTCATGGCATACTTAACTTTTACAGCTTATAGGCTATATAGTTTACCTGTGAATCATTTCAAGTTGTTGCAATACTCAGAAGGAAAATTTTCTTATCAGTAGATCTATATAGTTCACCCCCATTGTTCAAGGGTCAAATGTTTATATGGTCACACCATCTACAAACAGGACTCCCTTCCTTCTTATTTTTGAAGATTTATTTTTACTTTTTAAAATGATGTTGTTTGTGTGTAGGAATATGGACGGTTACCCATGGAGGTGAGGGAAAGGCTGCAAATCCCCTGGAGCTGGAGTTACAGATGTCTACGAGCCACCAACTGTGGGTAGGAGGAACCGGACTCCAGTCCTCCGGAAGAAGAGCAAGCACTCTCCACCGCTGAGCCTCCTCTTCTGCCTGTTCCCTTTCTGTTCCCATGCCCTCAGCTTCCTCTTCTTGCCTTATGAGCTAAGAGTCTCAGTCATCAGTAACAAGAGGTATAAGCAGACGCTGACAGCGTTGTCTCGCTCCATCCAGGTCTTAGAGAGAGCGCTGTCAGCTCTTCCGATGCTGCACGGCGTTTGCTGTGGATTTGTGATAAGCAGCCATTGCTGTACTGAGTTTTATTCCTTCTGTGCATGAAATGAACAGAGTTTTTATCATAAAGAGGTGTTGGATTGTATTGAATTCGCACTCCACATATTTTAACGCATCACTCAGCGCAGTGTCTGACGTTGTAGATAGCCAGTAAGTACTTGCTAAATGAGGAAATAGAATCGGGTGCTCTTACAGCTTGGATACAGTCAGATTTTTCAATCAGTGGTTCAAATAAAGTTACACTGATACTAGAGCCTTCCATCTCCTAATCACAATTTCCATTCCACTGCAAAAGTCTCCCTGGTTAGTCAGGGGGTGATGGAGCATGCCTTTAATCCCAGCATTCTAGAGGCAGAGGCAGGTGGATCTCTGAGTTCCAGGCCACCCTGGTCTACAGAGTGAGTTCCAGGACAGCCAAGAGTACACAGAGAAACTCTGTCTTGAAATAAACAAACAAATAAGCAAACGTTTCCCTGCCATCAGGAGAATATGGTGATATCCTTCAAGCAGCATTGTGATGGTTGCTCTTGTCAGTTGGATGGAATTCCTAATCATACTGGATAAAAGCATCTGAGCATGTGTGTGAGGGGCTTTCCAGATTGCAATACCTGGAGCGGGAAGATCTACGATGAATGTGGGTGGCACCATCTCACGGACTGGAATGCCGGACTGAATAAACGATGTGACAGTGAGCTCCGCGCCTGCATCCCTTTCTCTCTGCTTCCTGACTGTGGGTAAATGCGGCCGGTAGTCACAGACCCTGCCACCATGCCTTTTCTGCTGGGATGAACTGAGTCACAATAGACGCTGCTTTAATTGCTTTTGTCAAGTATTTGGTCACAGCCATGAGAAAGGAACTAATACAGACATCTTCAGTGCCCCTAAGCCAACCCAAGGCCCCCAAATCAGCCCAAGGCCTAGCTGCTGTTAACAGCAGCTGCCAGCTGTTAGGAAGGTCACTGACTCTGCCCTGAGGCCTTCAGCTGACCCCTGACTCTGCTATGGGATTCTTGCACTGATGATGGACTGATGGTCTACCAGACTGCTGCTAATAGCGCTGCCTTGCCTGAAGTTCGGATTATGCTGACTCTTTCTGTCCAGTATCAATGCTGCCCTCACACCGCACGGTGACAACAAAGCAACCCCTGTGGATTGAGAATGAGGACTCCTCGGGAAAAGGCTCCGTGACCGGACACCTGAGACCCTCAAAGAAACTGATGGGCTAATGCGGGACAGGGGCACACGTTAGCGGGAACTTCTTACTTATGCATGACTTCTGCTCACTAACCCTAAACCACACGTCAGGATCCTGAAGATGAACTTAGAGTGTCACTGACTTCTTTATTTGTTCCTCTTTCCAATATAGTCATATTGAATAAACCTCCTTTCTCGACTTTTCACAAATGCTTATCTGTTTAGCTTGGATGGGTGGATGAGCCTAGATTGTCAGGGTTGCCAGGGCCCTGGCTTGGACCCTAACAACTCTGGCAACAATCACATCTGCAAAAAACCAAATCCAAAAAAAAAAAAAACCCAAAAACTCAGGTTCTGAGATTTTAGATGGATATGAATGCAAGAGGAACACTATTTATACCAACAGAGCAATGTTTTTACAGTGAAATTAAAAGCTCATGAAAAAATCCATGAAGAGCAAAATTTAAAATTTTTAACTGAAGAAAAAAAATCTTCCACTCGCATAACTCACCTCACTCGCCTTCCCTAGACCCAGCCCAAATGAGGTCACCTCTACAAGAAGCCTCTAGGACAGAAGGGTAGGTAGAAAGTATCCTGGGACTTTTCCTAGGGAGCAGACATCTGCTCACCCCAGGTAGGGTACAACAACACCACCCCAGGCAGAGTAGCAAATACACCATCCTACAACAAAGGGTAGCACAACAGGCCTGAGAGAGAGACAGAGAGGAGACAGTGAGAGAGAGAGATTCCACCCAAGTCAAGTCTAGCATGGTGAACCAGTGAATTTATTGTGGTTACTCAAAGGCTCATGAGTTACTCAAATGCAGCTTCACCACCAAAAAGCCCACCCAGGCAGAGGGGGTCAGCAGAGCTGGCCTGATCTGGAAAATATGGACTGGTCCCTTTAGGAAGGCATGCTCTTTCATTCCCCCATCCCACTCTGGGGAGAGGGTTGTTGCTGACCCATCCATAGGACTTGCAACCATTACAACTTGCTAAAGGCTGGGGAGTAGGACCAATAAGAGAAAAGAGAATCTTCAAGGAGGGGATTCCAGGGGCCCGATGCCCCCTCCTGGAGACTCTCACTTCTGGGACCCCTCCCATACTACTACCAATGGGAAGTGTGTGTTTGCATAAAGTTTGTTGCCTGTGTTCTTTTCTCTCTCTCCATTGGTGTCCCCTCCAGCGTTCCCCATGTCAGCAGGCCTCCTCCCTCGTTTCTTTGCTCTCCCTGTGGCCCTGCTCCCCCTCTCCTTGCACCAGTGGCCCCTCTTCACCTATAATACCTCACTTTTTCTATGAGGACCCTCTTTCCAGGGCATATACCTCTTGTCCTGCCCACAGAAGGAACTCAGTGGTGCCCCTCCACAACTACCTCTCAACCAAGAGACCCCCTTAACACTTTGGGGGCTCGTCTGGGATTGAAGACCCTGGTGACACAAGTGTGGGTGACAGCTTACAAAGCTGTATCCATGAAGCTCTTTGCCCAACTTGCAGGAAGCTCCACACAAGAGTCTCCCCTCCCCAGTAACTGTTTACTCTTCCAACCTTAGGGAAGGGCCTCCTGAATCTCCTAAGTTTCTACCTTCCCAAGCCTTGTAAATTGCATGAATTTCCTGAGCCTTATGAATTGTATGATCTTAGTGGGGCTTGTAAATCATATGAACTTCCAAGCTTAGTCAGTTTCTTTAATTTCCTTAGAGACCATAGCCTCTCTCCTCCCTCTAGGAGGGAATACTTCAACTTAAAGGAAACCATACACAACGAGAGAGTCCAATACTCCTCATCTATCTTTCAGCTTTACTGGCCTAGCAGGTTTCCCCTACCACTTAGTTCTATAAATGGTTTCATGAGAAACACCTATCTGTTTCAAGGGCTTGACCTCACAGGTGTCTGCTGCATGGTCCTCTTTGTACCATTTGGGTTAGAAAGGACTTGTAAACAAGCACTGTTGGAAACTCTTCTTTTCCTCCTGGCATGAGCCTGTCCGCACTGAAATGACTCCGTTCTTAATGAAAGGAAAGCGTTCTGGGGAGAAGTGGAGCCTGTGCCGTAGGCCAGACGAGATCTCATTACTGCTGGGAGCTTCTGAGACAGATCAACCACAACCAGCGCTGGAAAGCCTTCCCCTGGCCCCGTGTGCAGCCCTAGGAAAACAGACCTTCGTGATTGGCTAGTAGGTACTGCCATCTACTTGAAAAGGCTCCTGAAATTGCCAGACTCCTTCTCTGCCTGGACATTGGTTTCCCAGTAATTGATGGGAAGAAATAGCCCAATCAGAGCTGTAGTGACTCAAAAAGTAGGTCATAAATATCTTTGAATCAAATTACTGAAACTAATTCCTGGCAGCAAACACTATAGCAAGTGGGTCTCTGTATTTGTTTTTCTTTCTTTTCTGGAATTACAGAGACAAAGCATGGAAATACTCATGTTTCCTTCAATCCACAAAAAAAAGGACAGAGAATTCAATATTATTCATGTCGACACACGTTTTGGTACATATAAAATGCAAGGCACTTTCTAAGTGTAATTTCCATGAAATCAAACTGACAAGGTTAATCGTGAATTATCCTTGTTTTTAGAAACTAAAAGAGCTTCAGAAAGAGAAAGTCCTGTTCATTCAGACCCCAGCTAAGTCTTCGTGTGACTCCCTAACTATATGCAAAGCAGCAGTTCTAATAGGATCATGACTCTACAGATGCAGGCTACATGCAGACTCCAAGCAAAACCGCTCCTGGTCACAAGCCTGTAGTCGACCTGTGGGGAAAGAGCATCCATGCAAATGGGTAACCCATGCAGCGCTGGCCAAGACAGCATCTGTAACCCCAGAGCACCTAGGAGGAGAAGGAAGGTGGAGACAGGAGAACCCATGAAAGCCAAGAGACCAGCTAGCCTGGTGTATGCAGCAGTGAACACTGAAGCAAGGGGGAAAGGTGAGAACCAAACCCAAGGTTGTCTTCTGGCCTCCATGCAGGTGGCATAGCCTGTGCATCCCCCACATTATTGAGTAAGGGGGTGGCTGCAAGAGCTGGTTTGGTGTAGAAGGGCACTGGGCATATTTGTGGTGATCAGGTTATTTAATAGCAATAGCCACCATGGCAGGAGGGGCTGGGGGAAGAGTTCCAACAGCAACCCACAGAACAAAGGGAGTTCCTTGCTGACGTAGAAATACTATTCCTCTTACATAAAGAAGAAGGCTAAAATAGCAATGAGGGCCAGGGAGATGGCTCTGCAGATAAAGACACATCTCATGAAGCAAGCCTGACGACATGGGCTCAATGCCTGTGACCCACATGGTGGAAGAAGAAGACCAACTCCTTCAAATACTCCTGTGACACCCATATGTATGTAACGGTGCATGCATGCACACACATGTGTGCACACGTACACACACCTGCATATATTAAATTGAGAAATCAGCAAACCCGTGTGCGTAAACATGATAGGCTGTGGCTCTTCTCTGAGATGCCAACGATCATGCTTCCTTTGCTTTGTAGCTCCTCCTTCCCCTAACCCCGGTGCTTAGCTTACGTTTTTAAAAATGCCTTTTAATAAATCCCAACTCTGATTCATCCTGTCTAGTAATGCATGTCTGAATCTAACTAAGCCAAAGATCCAGTTTAATGGAGCTCTTCCGGCTACCTCAGGTGACAACATGGAGCTGTGCCTCTGTCACTGCCTCTGCTGACAGCTCTTACAGGCACCCAAGCCCTTCTCACTTGGCTGAGTCCTGGGCCTTCCTGCCCTCACTCACAGGCCAGAAAGGAAGCAACTGCCTCCTTACTTCAACCTCTTCCCTTTCTTGAGCTTCAAACACACACATAAACAGAGACACACAGACACACACAAATAGATAAAAGCAAATGTAAAACAGAAGTATAAACTAAAACACTGAAACAGCTAGGATTTGTTTGTGCTGGGACCTCGAAGAGTAGGAAGAGGAGTTCTGGCAGTGGGCATGCTGAGGAAGACACAGGAGCCGGGATGGGGTGGATGGGAGTAGGTTCTTTGACGTATATGAGCCAGGATGAGGAAAACGGGAATCGGTTCTTTGATGGCAAATGAGTTTAAGTTCTGCTCAGGGCTCAAAGCCTAGCAGGTCTGCTGGGGGACAGCTGAGCTCCTGCCTGCAGGACTCCAGTTGTCTGGCCACACTGCACCATCTGAGGTCCTTGTCACATGTAAATGCGACGGGACTAGTAATACCCCATGGCAAGCTCTGCAGCAGCCCCAGGCATTGATGAACACTGATTGGCATGTGACTGGAAGGATGGGCTTGGGTGAGCTATGAGGAACCTAGAGAAGGATTTTTCACTTTATTCCAAGGAAATGAAGGGAGCCATAGGGAATATTAAAACTTGTGGCTGATGATTTGTATCTGAGCACCCAGAAACTATCCTTAGGGAGCACTGTTGAAGTAGCTAAGAAGAGAATGTGGAGAGATGTGGTATAGAGAGATGGAATGTGGGTAGAAGCTGGGGGAAGAAAGACAAGAGTCCAGGCAATAACTGAACCGAGTAATGGCAGTCCAGGCGATGGAGCAGTGAGACTCTAGGACACTGGGATCTGTAGAGTTGGGTACAGTGGAGACAAGTGGAGAGCCACATGTCCCGAGGTGGAGAGTGGACTGGCGCTGGGACTCAGCTGGCAGAGTGCTTGCCTGGAATGTGGGAAGCCCGGTATGTCCCCCCAATGCCTAAACTGGGAGGGTGAATTCCTTGACTCTCAGCACTGGGGAGGAGAAGGCAGGAGAATCAGAAGTTCAAGATCATCTTCTTCTCCACTGTAAATTCAAAGCCAACTACATGAGACCTTGTCACAAAACAAGAAAAAGTGAGAGACACACAGACTGCCACTGGAAAAGGATTAGGGGGAGGGGAAAGATACTCTCCAAGGCACAAACTTCTAGATAGGAAATGGTTTATGAAGAACAAGAGAGACTACCATTTCAGCATATAAATGTGAAAACTGGAATTGTTTTTATTGATAAATTAGGGATTAGGGTCTGGAGAAATGGCTCAGTAGATAAAGTGCTTGCCATGTCAAATGGATGGCACTAGAAGAAACCATCCTGAGTAAGGTAACCTAGTCACAAAAAGACAACATGGTATGTACTCACTCATATATGGATTTTAGACATGAATCAGGGGAGTGTCAGTCTACAATCCCACTGCTAGAAGGTCTGGGAAACAGGGAGGATCCTGAG